CAGGTGTGAGCTAATAAAGTAACTGAGCTGTTCCAGAACTGTCTCATGGAGTTTCTTGGGCTTAACCTGACATCAATCATCAGTCTCATCTTCTTCGCTTTCCCATGCTCATGCTGGGGGCTGAGGAGATGCTTCTGTCCTTGACTCCTCTCATTCCATTCCATCCCAATGTCTGAGTTATGCCAGCTGACTAAGAAACTACATTCATCAGTACATTCCCAATTTTACTATTTGGAAGAAATGATGCTAAGTTTGTAAAGAAAATCTGGAATACATATTGTTTCTTGAGATAAAGGACTGCAGTTTACAGTTATTTATGTATAAAATTGTAAGTACAACTATTTTTTTTTCCTTTTTTGTACACAGGTATTGGATAAGAGAATTCTGGGTCATGTTTAAAACAGATTCCAATCTTACAAACACTATGGAGGAATTTCAGGAATTGGTGAAAGCTAATGGTGAGGAGTTACACTGTCGCCTAATTGACACATCTCAAATGTGAGTGTCAATGCCTTAGTTTATTGGAGAAACGCTATTGAATCCCAAATACATAATTTATATGGCCATTGGTATGTGTGTGTGTGTGTGAGAGAGAGAGAGAGAGAGAGAGAAATAGGGAGGAATTAGCTTCTTTTTTGTATGAAATGACTTTTTCATATGATTAAATGGTAGTGATTAAAACCATACCTTCTTTTTTTAGTTTGTATATCTGTAGTAATTATAAGAAATAATCTGTGTAGAAAAGACATACATATAAGCTGTCAAATCAGGATTTTATTCTGAATTAAACTGAAAAGAACAACAACTACCACAACAAATCTTGAAAAATTCAATTTTAACCAGCTGAAAGTAACAAACAATCAGCCCTTTCCAAACCCACATAAAAACAGAAGTCCTGAATGTAAAATCAGTTTAATCCCATTTGAAACTCTCTGCTGAACCTGATTCTTTTTTTACACTTTTAAAGTACTAGGATTGCAGCTATTAAGCAGTGCAGTAAAGCAGTACATTTTGCTGTTTGAGATTGGAGATTTAAAAAGAGTGATGAGTTAGAAATAAAAAAGAATAAAAGTAGGAACATACAATAAAGTATGTGGTATTTTGTTTAAAAGGTTCCTTTCCCCCCCATAATTTCTTCTAAAAAAATTTCTCCCTTTGGACATAGAGGGGATTTATCTGCATCTAATTTCATCAACATTAAAACTTTTCTTTATTCTTTCACTTGATGTTTATGGTCAGCTCTCATTTTTATCCATGAGAATATTTTAAAAATAGTTTTGGCTATAAGTACTTCTTCATCCCTTCTCCTTATTTAGTCATTCATTTCACAGCCCTTCCCACCAAATTGTCAGGATTTTTAATCATCAGCATTTACTATAAAATCATGTCTATGGAAGCAATCTGTTCCAGTGAGCTACCACTGAGTTCTCTATGGATTTTAAAAACAGTTTTCATATATCTGTAAACCACATAATTACCCTATGTCTGTTTATATTTCCTTGTTATATATAGGTCATACTGTTTTAGCTACATGTATAGAAGAGGGAAATTTGAATCAGTATTAGAAAGATCAGAAGCCAGGTTAGTTACAAACAAATCAAGTAGAGCCATGCTTTTCAGTTAAAGCTGTATTAATTTTTTTTCCTACTGATGTTTGTTTGGGACCACAGATAACTGATAGTTGCAGGTGGTCTCATTAATCAAAATAAATGTTCCCAAATCTTGCAAGATTTTAGGCAAGGACACTGACTTTTTATGAGATATGGTACTCTCATATGATTCAGGCCACTTTAATTTACTTTTTAATTTAAAATATTTTTATGTAATGTTGGTGTCCTTTGGACATCACCTAAGATAGTCCTATATACCATGGTGGCTACAGATTGCACCCTGTAGATTCCTGACTTACATGAGAGTTCTTAGAATTTTTCAGTAATGATATACTACTGATCTGTATAAATGAAAAGGCTGGAATTGCTGATATAGCTTAATTAAACATATAAAATGCAGTAAGACTCTGAAATAGACCATGTGAGGGGAAGAGATTCTGGTAAACCAGAATGTCCATTAAATCCAAATTGACATAGTTTTTGTACTTGATGCCATTTGTGTGATGACACAGTTAACTTTTTTAATGATTGTAAATTGATGAAAATGATGTAAAAGCTACTGTTGCATGAAGCAAATGATGTAAATTATGTCAGTTGTTTGGACGGACTCCTGAAATAGTGTACTTCTTTTATTTTCGAATAAAGTCTGAATTACGAATGTGTCTGTTGCAGTCAAAGTCCATTACCTGGAGGTCCCTTAAATCAAGGCATTACTATAGTTTGATATTTTTGTATAAGATACAATTTTGACGTATATCCATGAATTATTAGGGTATTGAATAGTGTTCAGGTGGCCTTTATTAGAACTGGGCAGAAATTAGGTCACAGACTCTCAATACATCCTGAGTTAGTACAGATATTGCTCCTATTTGAGAGCATTCTGATATAAAGTTGTAGATCAACCATACAAGGATTCAGCTTATATAGGAACCATAAACAGAGACATGTTATCAGAGACAAATGAATATTGTAACCAGCATTCACATTAAAATAAATTGAAAATCTAATTGCAAGTTTTTTTACTAAAAAAACATTCAAATAAAGGATCTCTCCAGGAAACAATGCTCTGCTTGTTTTTCCTAAATATTCCCTGACTTTTGTAAACTGCAGCCTTAAATCAGGGGCCTAGAAGATGCTCATTTCTCTCCTTTTTCCTGAGGTAACTGTTGTTCATTTCCATCCCTCTAAGTTGTCCTGTCACAATTATACTGAATGTTATGAGACTGGATTGTTTTCTTTTATGTGTTTTTTTCTGTGTTGTTTGCTGCCCAGTGTCCTTTTAGACTGAGCAGGTTAAAAAAGCTGTTAAACAAACAAATGAGTCCTGGGTTAGGGTTATTGATCAGTGGTTGACAGTTACCTCTGCAAATTTATGTACCCATCCTGTAATCACAACAAGGATATTGCACCAATTAATTATGACTTGTGGCAGACAAAAACTTTGGAGATGAGATGTTAACGCTAGTGGCAGGCAAAAAAAAAAAAAAAAAAGGAACAAGAGACTAAATCTTTTCCTCCTTTCCCACAAAGCACTTTGCTGAAATGAAGAAAATGAATGACAATCATGTATAGATTTTGGTATGAAAGGAGCCTGAGGGCCATTCATTTTCTGAAGTGAATTTTTTTGTAATTCTAGATGTAATGATCTGTCAGGCTCAGATTAGAAGATGTCAGTCTTCTCTAGTTAAAGTAAACTCCACAATCTAAAATCAGGTCTTTCCTAGTACACATCAGTTGGGAAATTAAATTACATGCGATACTCTGGTTACAATCCAATATTTATTTCCCTATTGTTTCAATTAAACTCAGTGCCAGCTCTGAGTAGACCTATAGACATTTGATTGCACTATCAATAACATGCAATTTGTGAGTGTTCTTAAAAAATATTCATGTAATAACTGGAGTCTGAAGCAGAAGACTCTGATATGTGTGTAAAATGGCCTATCATTTTTGCATCAAGTTTTTATTTTTGTTTATTAATCTTTTTCTTCCCAGAAGAGTTTTAGGCCTTTTAAATTATTTGTTTATTATCCCAAGCCAATAAAATACAAGTATAAAATTTAAAATACAGAAAACTAAACCTGAAACAATTAATAATGAGAAGAGGATATCAACTGGCTTTTGCAAGCCATAGTTATTGTTAGAACCTTGGTGTCAGCCCTAGTAGGTAGACCACATCAGGACATCAACTCACAGGAAGACCAGAACTACATTTTATAGACTGTAGTAACAGAATCTTGCAAATCTGATTGTGCTGTACTTTCCCTTTCTTGTACCCCCCATGAATCAGGGAAGTATCTACCTGAGCTACTTCTGAATATTAACTTGTTTCCTAGGGCTTAAAAAATGTTTCAGCCCTCTTTGCTTAGGTAACAGTTCTTGCATATTTCCTTCCAGGTCATCTTCCTTACTCTCTACACTTGGCAACCTTTATAGAGTGTCCAAGTTAGGTCTTGCAGAAGGAAGGTTGAAATTGCCTGATCAGAGAGATAACTAAAATTTCTGACAGTTGGAGGTCTATGAGTGCCAGAGACCACGGGTGGTACAATGGGCAATGTAACAAGATATGGGTTACTAACTCAACCACTGTATCTGAGCAGACACACATATGATTGTTGTACAAGAAGCTGGTGTGTTTGCTTATAGGCTCCATAATAACTAGTGCACCAATTTGAACCAAGGTAGAAAAAAACAACAAAAAACTATGTGGCATTTGTAGGATGCTTTAGATGTAGCTAGGAATACAGTACTTTTTGCTATTAACATATGTAATATATTAATCCACACAAACAAATATTTAAGAAACCTCTGTATGGATAAAATCAGAAAGCTATACTGTGCTACAAAAGTTACATATTGTATGATTTTAGCTTGATTTTAGCTAATTCCAGAAATTCATGCTGTGAATTGAAATCCATTTTCTAGCAGTACTACAAAATTAATCTGCTAATTAAGTCAGATGGTGATACCTTATTGGATAAAAGGATATGATTTCTAACTTCTCATCATTCAATTACACATAATTTTGCCATTTTAGATTCATTTGCTATAGAGATATAAGATAAATATGCTAGAAGCTGTTCAGTGTTACAGAAGCACTTCCTTTAGTTGTTACCATTTGCATGATTTTGAGACAAAGGAATGCATTAATAAATATTTGTGCAGATAAAACTTGCTTTTTCTTTTTCCCTCTTTCTAAAGAAATGCTCGAGATTGGTCCAGGAAGGTAACCCAGCGAATAAAATCCAACAGCAGTAAGAAACGAAAAGTTTCACTACTCTTTGATCATCTGGAACCAGAGGAGTTATCCGATCATCTCACTTACCTTGAATTCAAGTCCTTCCGACGAATATCAGTGAGCCAATGACTTTTTATCAGTTAATTATGTAGTTTCTTTGAATAATGCACGTAGCAAGATAATTCAATGTGAAAAGATGAAAGGAACTTTAAGGACGTAATGGTACTGAAGCTGAATAATTTTTTCCACTTAATTCTTACATATCTGAGAGCAAGGAAAGAGATTATGTTGAGTGTAAAGTGGTGCACTCTTAATAGTATCCAGTGACCTGTTGTCTAACTTACATTTTTCCAATAGAACACAAAGGTAAATAATTCAAATTGCAGTGAAGAATTAGTTGAACAATTTTATTACGGAAGGTATGGAAGTTATAAGGAAAGGCTTTCTTTTAGCAAGCACAGTTCTTAAATATTAACTATTATGTTTATAATACAGAGCACATTTGTTAGTCAAACCTTTGCAGGTTTTAGAAGTATCTCCTTCCCATTAGGTCTGGAATTAAAATTGGTCCAATCAATGCAGTCATATTGGGAGCAACAGGTACGGTGGGGGGCAAAGCTAGAACGTGTACCTTTCAGTAGTAGTGCCTATTTTCTGTATCAGCTTGAGATCTGGTTGGTTGAAAGTTAACTGGCCCCCTCCCTGATATCATTCAGAAAAATGTTGGAAACAGATCTTTCTTAGAACAAATTACACTGTTTATGTGTTTGTGTGGTTTTAACATGCTTGAGTACAGTCAACTGAAGTTATTATTCAGCATGACTGGCTTTCTTCCATACCACTCTTAATGGTTTAACTGTGGATGTTTTTATATATAATATACTTTGAATATTTTAGATGTTGTGCATATCTTATGAGTTGCCAAGAGTCTTGTTGGATTGTGATTGGATAAATGGAATAAATGGTTGGTAGATAAGGAAGGAAGGAAGGAAATACATTTGTAAATGGCTGCATCCTGTGGTAGGTTTGCTCTTGTAGAAAGTGCTTCTGCTTGTGCAAGGCAACACACCCAAATTTGCCAAATCTTTTTCTGGTTGCATTGTGGTCCATATACCATATAGAAGGAAGGCCTGTCTGGAAGGGAGGATTGGAGTAAGTAGGAGTGGTTGGCAAAATCACATGTCCTGTTTTGCATGAGTAGAAGTGTTTTCCTCTAGTCATGAAGCCTCATCACTTAGCCTGTGGCTCCTTCTCATCCTACCAGTTGCAGTACCTAGGCTTGGGGAAAAATTCTTCCATTGAGATTAAGACTAATAACATAAAATCAGGTGGGCCAGGAAGCTTGGCAGGCTCAAAAACAAATGTAACTGGCCACACTGAGCCCATGGGGACCAAAATACTAGTTTATAGAGGTACAACCCAGCGAAACTAATATTATTCATCAGGAAGGCAAAAATGGAATAGGATTACAGGTAGTCCTTGACTTACAACCAAAATTGGGACCGGAACCTCCATCACTAAGTGATGTGGTAGTTAAGTGAGTTGTGCCTGATTTTACAACCTTTTTTGCTGTGGTTGTTAACCAAATCACACAGTCGTTAACCAAATCCAGCTTCCCCCATTGACTTTGTTTGTTGGAAGATCCCTGGGAAAGTCACAAATGGCAATCACATAATCTCGGACACTGCGACTGTTGTAAATACATGCTGGTTGCCGGGCACCCAAATTTTGATAACATAACTGCGGGGATGCTGCAACAGTCGTAAGTGAAAGGACCAGTTGTAAGTCACTTTTTTCAGTGCCATCGTAACTTTGAATGATCATTAAACAAATGGTTGTAAGTCAAGGACTACATGTAGTTTCTAAGCAGGGAAAAATCATTTATGAATATTGGTTCTTTATTCCCTTTTGCTTGAAAATGCGTAGCCAAATTGCTTCAAAGCTGTGAAATGAGTACCTGGTCAAAGAATCAACATATACTTGTCTCCTCATATGTAAGTTTAGCAGTTCAGAGAACAAACTGTAAAAGTTCTCACTTAGTCATGCATCAGTACTTTTTATTTTAAACCCTTGTTTCAGAACTTTTCTCATGTGCTTAGTTAAAATCTAACAGTCATGGAAGCTGAAGTCACATCTCATGTAAGCAGCAATCCATTTGCACAAAATTGATGTTTAAGCTTATATAATGCCTATTTTTTCATTTAGTTTAATGGTTATTGGCTAAGAACAACAATGCCTTATTGAAAAAAAAGGAGTTTTGATTGCATTGAACATACCACTCAGTTGCACAACAGCATTAAATACTGAGATAATTTTGTTTACGTAAAATCAAAGAACTACTTTATGCAGTGATGTTCGTTTGCTAAATAAGCATTTGCTTCTGGAAAGCATATTTCATACTGGTGTCCATATTTTGTTCCTTTGTTTTTGTTCAAGGGTTCATCCTCCATAGCAGATATGTCAAATGTTATAAGTGCCAGAGGAGGGCATTTTAAATCAGGCAAAGTACTTCACAGCTGATCTTGGATGTAAAAATAGAGGGTGAATCTCCATCTGTATAGAAATTGATTTGTACATTTATTATGAATAAAGCAAGGATCTGATTTGATTAGATGGTTTTCATGAAGCTACACCATTAGGAAGTTTCTGCATGGAGATTCTTAAAATAATGTAGGAATTTACATGTGAAAATACTCTGTGCTACATGGAACTATTTTATGTCCACCATATACACCTTTAAGGGTTTTACAGCACTGGCAAGAGATTTTCTAATTAGTTTTTTAGACTATTGTTGTTTAAAGCTGGCTAGCTAGCTTCAGTTTATATTTTAATAACTCTGTTTAGATTTTCATAAGCTAAGTGGAAGTTATATAGAATAATTTTATGTAAAACTATATTTGCTTGTAGCTGACGATTAACGGTTACTCTACCTGAAGTTTCCAGATTATCAAAACTACATCATAAATGGATGTGTGAAGGACAATCCCACAATGGAACGCTCAATCACTCTTTGTAATGGTATTTCACAGTGGGTACAACTAATGGTATTAAATCGACCAACACCACAGCTTCGAGCTGAAGTATTCATCAAGTTCATTCATGTGGCCCAGGTCAGCTCAGTTATGAATGGTTTTGAGTTTGGTTTAGTCTTCACTTGTTCATTTAGTAATTGGTGTAATATTCAACTCCCCATCACCGCCACACCCCAACAAGGCTATCAGTGTCTGCTGCTAATGGAGTCCTTAGTAGTGCTGCAGTGATCACTCATTTCCCTTTTTGAACAAGCTTAACTGACGTTGCCAGCATTGTTGGAATGGGGCTGAATGGGCTAATACTGAATATTGCACTGTGAGAAATGCACAAAGGCTGCCATTTGGATCCAAGAACATTGGTACCACTGTCCATAGAAATAAAGGAAAAGGAACCAGGCAAGATAAACATACGCCTGGTGGGTGGGGATCTCTTAGACCATATGGCTTGGTATCCACCTGTTTATATTAGATACTGATGCTAGGCCTGGTTCTTTTATTTCATCAGATCATGTTTCCTATGGGGAGTGGGGGGGAAAGTCAACATTAAAAGGTTTTGAAACTTAAAAAGCATTTGCCCAACTCGAGGCAACTACCAAGCAAAATATTGTTACTAACGCTGAATAAAATGTGTGGTTTTTAAAACTATATTGGAAAAAAAATGCTTTAAATCATATTGAGATAATATCCATTTCAAGTATCTTAATCAAAAATTGTATATTTCACATCAAACTATTTTACTGGTCTTTTTTTAATACAGAAACTTCATCAGTTGCAGAATTTCAACACATTAATGGCTGTGATAGGAGGTCTTTGTCACAGTTCCATCTCTAGACTTAAAGAAACTAGTTCTCATGTTCCTCATGACATCCATAAGGTTAGCTCTGCTTTTTCCTGTTTTTTTGTTTATTCCACAATATTCATATTAAGACTGTGCAAGCAATTTAGAGAGGCACTGGGGAAAGTGAACAATGACTTTCTGAACATGCTGTTCCAAATGTTTAGGCACTGTCTTCTGTTGCCAAGTTACTTCATTTTGGTGGCAATTCCATGGAAGTGTCTTTGTCATATGCTGAAATGATATCTTGCCATTTCAACCCCTTGAGCCACAGGTTGGACAACATCTTTGGCCACTTAATGATTCATTCCAGTGAATGATTTGCACAGCCCTAATTCATATAACGTATTTCAGCTGTAAGAGCAGATAAGACCATTCACCAATATAGTGTCAGATTTATTAACAAATGATACTGCCCTCATGATGATGAACCTAATAAATATTTATTATTCCATCCACCAGTTTGGAAATAATGATTAAGTTGTTCTAGTCAAAAGTTTGCCGCTGAAACTTTATTTTCAACAAGAGATTGTCTATATAGGATTGTGGTATAAGACTGCAAAATGGTTGAATATATGTCTCAAATGACTATAATGCTAAGCCATAATTTAAAATTATCAGAACATGTCATAGTGACTCTGTGGGAAGGAGAACTTCAAATTTTAGATTAACTGCATGGGAATCTGGGTAAGTGAGCTTAATCTTAAATATGACAACTTAAACTCTAATTTGTGAAGCTGACTTTCAATTGACTATAGCAGCAGTTAATTTAAATTGGAAGCAGAGACTTTTAACTACCTCCTTGCAGTTATGTCCAAAGAGGGGAGTTTGTGAGTTTATTCTTATTATGCTTAAATATGACTTGGTATTATATCAAAACATAGTTGTTATACTTGTGCGTTCATGGCAAACATGCTAGAATAATTTATTTATTACATGTTACTAAAGTGATCCCAAATTAAGAACAAAATTGACTGAATTTGCTTTTGTTGGTTTGCCTTTAGATATTCAATGAAATGACTGAACTGCTGTCATCCTGTAGGAACTATGATAATTACAGACGTGCTTATAATGAGTGCAGTAACTTTAAAATCCCTATTCTTGGGGTACATCTGAAAGATTTAATTTCCCTTTATGAAGCTATGCCAGATTACTTGGAAGATAAAAGAGTTAATATGCACAAATTGTATTCTTTGTACAATCACGTCAATGAACTGATACAGCTGCAGGAGATGGGTCCCCCTCTGGAAGCTAACAAAGATCTTGTCCATCTCCTTACAGTAAGTGTCTATTTATAGAATGTATTTTATGTATTCTGCTTTCACTTTTTTTAAAGTTAAACCAGGCTGAGCTATTTTAAATAGGTAGAACATTATACTTTGAAAGTCTCTGTTCAGCTCTATACAATGCAAATACTGAACTGATAGAAAGTAAACCCTTTCATTTTTTAAAAACAATGTTAATTTGTTTTCTGCATAAGGATAAGAGTCTTTGGCTTCACTGCCTTGTGATCCAGCTATTACTGTATGTTGCTTAGTACTATGGTACCTCCTGCCATACTTTAGTTAGCGCCAAAATGGCTTTCACTTATCTTGGATTTTTACAGATATGAAGGTTTAGAGTTACAGAATTGTATCCTGTCAACTAGTTTGCGTAATATCCATGCCAGTGTTCCCTCACTGAATGTTGAGTGGACAGTAGCTGAATAATGGATAATGAACACAATGTAGTTGATCAGCATAAGAAGCTAGTTCAACATTATTAATACTTTGAAGCTTTGTGCTTCAAATTTTTGAAAACAGATTTTGACTGTGGTGCTAAGATCTGAACTGGGTCTAAGACTTTAATCTTAAAAATATTTTTCTAATTATATTTCAGCAAAATCATGATATGCTCAAAATTAATAGATTGTAATCTTTCACAATGCTAATGCAAAGCTAAGTGAAAGTATAAATATAAATAACTTATTGTGAAAAATGAAATAGGATTCTAAATGCCACTAGTGCTCCTTTAAAAATACTGTTAATATTTTTAAATGCTCAATTTAGTGGCTGAAATGAATCCAAACCATACAGTAGTTAAAATGTAAAATCAGGGTATTCCTGAGCTAGACTGGATGTAATGCTGACTGGAGTTTAGCACTTTGATAATTACTCTAGCTCAGCCTTTTCCAGCTTGGTACCCTCCAGGTGTATCCAGGTGACCAGAACTCCCAGAATTCCTAAGATGGGTGTAAACAGATTGGGGAAGAATGGACTAGCCTCTCTTGTCTCCTTCATTCCCATTCCTGTTTCACTGTAGCTATGAGAAGCTTGTGCTTTGATTTGAATTTCAGTTGTGAATAATTTTAACAATAGTGAGTGGAATCATACCATGCTCCTTTGGGAGAAAATGGTTCGAGATTGCGTACTGGGATTTGTACATATCCTATTCTTTTATTGTAACTAACTCAAACCTTCTCTCTCTCTCTGTCTCTCCCCCCCCCCCCCCCCCACACTTACCTCTCTGCATCAGCTTGAGCGGTCAAATGGGAAGATTGTGGGAACAATGAAAATGATATCTTAATTTGCCTTCTCCTGCCTCCCTGTTGTGATATACAAATGATTTCTAGAAAACATCTGAACAGGGGAGGTGGGGTGGGGGGAAGGACTATATACTTGTCTTTCCTAATATTTCAACTAGTAAATGAACATATGAGAAGTGGCATGTCACAGGATAAGGGCTGACAGGAGGATATTTGATTGAATTGGAAAGTCTTTATGGAATACATCCCATGAGCCTGAAAATCCTCATATGTAATCTATTAAGATTTGAAAGTGGGTCATTTTCCTCCAAAGCAGAACCTGAACTATTTTGCCACTGCTTGCATTTCCAGTAATTTTTTTCCAGAAAAATATTTAAAATGAGAGTAGATTTTGAATAAATTGCTTCAGGGAAGTCAATCAGTTGCTGGTACCAGAAGCTCTCAGATTTGCTCTACTCTCACCAACAGCATTGGAATATGTACGGATAAGTGCTGGAAAAATGTGTTCATTTTTTGTTGCTTGTAATGTCCAGGCTTGGGATATCTAGTTGTTTGTGGTATATTAGAGACCACAAATTCACAAAAGACAACATTTCTGGAGAAGGTTATAGCATTTTGGAGATAAAACTGTTCTTATATTCATTTTCAGTTGTCACTTGACCTTTACTATACGGAAGATGAAATTTATGAATTTTCATATGCACGAGAGCCAAGAAATCACCGGGCTGCAGTAAGAACTTTTTACTTCAAAACAGGATGTAGAGATACTTAAATTACAACAACAACAATTATAATAATTTAATATAGCCCATAATAGTAATCTATTCAATAAGTGCAGTACAAATATATTCCAGTTATATGTTTCAGTAAAAATAGCAGCATTGTCTACTAAGATATATACCATTTAGGGCAGAATGTAACAGGCAATCAAAACCAATTCAGCCTCAAAGTGCAATAGTAACAAAAAAAACTTACCTTAGCAAGTCAGTGTGCTAGAACAGGGCTTGACAACCTTCTAGTCACTAAAGACCTCACTTAACATTTTTGAGGAGAAGAGGGTCTCACGGTGAGTGAGAGGAGAATTTTGGAGGAAATTTAAAGGGGTTATTTTTTTAATTGTTATTTATTTATGTACTTATTGTATATATTTATTGATAAGTATAACAACCAGAAGATATGATAAGTACAAGCAAAAATATTGCCATGCTAGTAAAATATTTTAGGACTTATACAATAGTCTTTAACTGTGCCATCATTTTCAGCAATCATGGCCAGAAGTGTCTCCAAGGGCTGTCAAAAGAGAATTAGGGCTGCATGTGCTAATGGAATCATAAATAGGAGATACCCCCAATCACAAAATATCTAAGTTTAGAGACTTCTGAATTGGAGTCTCTTTTTCACAAGATCAGCAGTACCTTGGAAAAGGGCCAGTCCTAGCCCTCACATGATCAGCAATAATGGCAGGGGATGATAGTTACAGATATATTCTTAAGAGACCCCCTAAAGCTGAATCTGTCTTCTCTGTATCACAGGATTGGGTGGTCTCCAAATTTGCTTTTGTGACCATAAAATTGTTCCTTCCCCCAGTAATGCCTGGTAACATTACTGTGCTCCTTCAGAAGCAATTTTTAAAAAATGAAGGGCAGCCCCTAGCATGCAGGCTTTGCAAGTGGCTGAAAAAAGAGGAGGATGGATTATGAGCCACCAACTGATGATCCCCTTTTTGCCCCTTTCAAAGACAATCTGCCTCACAAGAAGTACTCTAATCTACGGCAGTGGCTAATGATGCTATCTAGCATTCTTCTGGACTGAGATTTCCAGGCTCAGAGTATTAATGAAAGTGTAGTTTTGATAATATGAATAATTATTAATTAAAATTATGTGCTACCCAACTCTCAGCAACTCTGCATAAATTATGTAAGAGAAAAATATTACATAAAGTTGATTTACCCAAACTATCTGGCAGTTTCACTTTAATAATGCTTACTTGTTCCATACTAAAGATTGTAATATTCTAAACATGTAACTGCTTTTAAACATTTATGAATGCTTTTCTTCAATAAATATGTAAATGTATTTTACTTTTTTAGCCTTTGACACCTTGTAAACCCCCAGTCGTAGCAGATTGGGCATCTGGAATTGCCCCCAAACCTGATCCAAAGATAATTAGTAAGCACGTTCAGAGAATGGTAGATGTAAGTATGTTGTATATTTATTATAAATGTTTTATGCAGCCTTTTGAATCCTGATTCATAGTATATTGGTTATGGTAATTAATGCATTCATAGCAGAATTCCCATTTCCATTAGGATATTACTAGAAAATAATATGTTATTTATACCACTATTGTGTTCTGGATCTTATTAACTTCCTTTACATTTACTTTGTTTCCTTCCAGTCCTTCTGTTTGGAAACTCCTGTGAAAGCACTTCACAAACAAAGAGGCTGGGGAGAAACTTATGGCTATCCCCTACCCATATACTACCAACCCCATGTGTATTAGGCCATTATGTACTTACAGTAAATAAAATCTGGACATTGGGCTGTATGATAAGCTGTTGTGCATTGTCTAGTTTAGCCCTTGGTCTCAACTCATGATGTGAGGGAACTTTTCTGCTAGCAGCTCCCTATGAAACAAACCTCTGGAAATGTACTGTGGAGTAACCTAAATGAACACTCTTTTTAACACATGATTGCAAATCTCAGACCTGGCTACATAACTTTGAAAAATGTAACTTGAAAATCATGGTGCATAAATTCAGAAAGAGAGAAAATGGTGGAATGGATGTATAGCAGTTTAACATTTGAAGTGAAAGAAGGAATAGCACTGCAGAAAAAGAAGTATTTAGTGATGTCACAACTAAACCCTTTGCCAAGTTGAGTAATTTATGTGAAATCTTTAAGTACTTGACCGAGCTGCATGTTGTGTGTTTGTGTGTGTGTAGACACACTCACGCTTCTGCAGAAGGCTAAGTGGAGAACCTATACATCAGTAGAAAGTGCAGAAGCTAAATATCAGTCAAAACACTTTTAAATGCCAGATAACTTTTTTAAGGAGAAATGCCCATTTGGGTTTTTTTTTTTTTTTTTTGCATTATATGACACTATACTAAAAAGCATTTTAAAATGAAACCACTACAAATCTGTATTAGCTATTTGTATATTAAGTGCTATTTCACAGAATTGGAGGGACAATGTAGGCAATGGAATCCAGTTTCCTAGTCATTTCAGGAACTGTAAGTGATGTTTGACGTATTTCAACTTCAGCTTTTCTTCTTACTTCATGCAGTCTGTTTTTAAAAATTATGACCATGATCAGGATGGATATATTTCTCAAGAAGAATTTGAGAAGATTGCTGCAAGCTTTCCATTCTCCTTCTGCATAATGGATAAGGACAGGTATGTTCCTCAGTTATCGTGAATACATGTATCATTATTCAAACAAGAAAGTGTTGGACTTGTAACATGATGTGTTATAGGGTGTATATACTTATATTGCCTCCTTATTCTTGCCATTGAAGTCTGGTTCTCACTGAGGATGGGATTCTCAAGATCATACCTTGAGCTTCTGGCCAATTGACAAGCCTTGTCTACTACTCCTTTGCGTGATTGTTTGATAACATCAGTGAAAAGCTTGCTTCTCTTGCTTGGCTTCAAATAATGTACCTTAGAGCAAGAGGTTATAAATGCTTTCATATTTAAAGGATGCCTACAGTGCATTTTTCCTCCTCCTTTAAGCTTATTCATTGTCCCAAACAGACTTAGAATTCATAAAGGGCAATTTGAAGGTATGGTGCTGGCAATTATTCCCCTGGCCTGCTCCTTTGTGTTGATAATTGTACAGTGTGTTCAGGCTTGTTTGTGAAGGCTGCTTCTCAAGCTGGTTTTGAAGAATTCTGAAGGAGCCCTCGTGATCTACTTGACAGGATCATGCAGGGTGTGTGTGTGTTTAATGTACTTCTAGATATTCTTTGCTGTGAAAATGAATTAGTGCTTTTATATTAATGAGCTGGCAGATGTGTGGTTGAATTGAAATAGAGGGGGGAGACACTGTTAACGCCTTCTGCTTTAGCAGCTTTAAGCCTCAATTGACCTTAGTTTTTTCCTTGTTTGCAGGGAAGGTCTGATTAGCAGAGATGAAATAACAGCCTACTTCATGAGGGCCAGTTCAATCTATTCTAAATTAGGCCTTGGCTTTGCCCACAATTTCCAGGAGACCACTTACCTAAAGCCAACATTCTGTGACAACTGTGCTGGATTTGTAAGCTTGGGGGTAGGGGGTATTTGAAAAGTAAAATTATATTACATGATGTGTGTAACAAACTGTTATCAGGAAATGTTTGGTTGCAATATTAACTCCAGCTTTCTGTTACCATGGTGGAATTCACTTCATCTTTTGTACTTTTAATACTTTAATTACGGTTAAGTGCCAGAATGGGAAGAAGCCATACCCTAGTTATGAGATGCATGGTTTTCATGAATAAGGTTTCAGGTCAAATTTTAGAGGTTTTCAGTTTCAGCTGTAGAGCTCTGAGTCCTCTGAATATATGTAATCCTGAAAAGTTGCTGCTGACCGACACCAGATTATCCAAAGATCTGATTCAATGGAGGCATCTTTCCATCATGGAATTCAATAGCATGCCATTGGATGTCCTTTCAAGGCAGTGATTAGGCCTGCTCACCTTCCATAAAATGGCTGCATCACGTGTCCTCAAAATCTGGAAACATGTTTGGTTATTGAAACATCTGTTTTCTTACCTGAGGGAGCTTAATATGTTGATGTCTCAGAGCTCTTACCTTTTGCTCAGGGTCAATACTAATCTCCAGATATTTCTGGTTGACTTCTTGTATCATAGCCTTCACTTATAATTCATGGCAGTAGTGCCTGGTGTCTTCATGGGGAGAAGATTTAACTATCCCTGACTATAGTATTTCATAGGAGCCATTTAAACCATCAAGACCAACTTTTGCTACATATAGGAATCCAAATTAAAGTAACCAGTGGCTACCTAACCTCCACTTCAATACATCTAGGGAAGGGGAAACCACCACCACTTTGGTTAGTTTGTTCCACCACCATGGATCTGCTGTTACTGTTAAGCAGTTATGTTTAATAGTCAGTACTCTGCCTTCCTTTAACTTAAGTCTATTATTGCATGTCCTGCACTTTGGAATGAGACAGGAAAAATATGACTTTCTTCGATGTGATATCCTTTCAGGTATTTGAAGAGTACTATCATATCCTCGTCCCTCAAAAATAATGTTTTCTCAAAGCTAAAATACCCACCTCCTTTGATCTCTCTTCATAGGTGTTAGTTTCTAGTCCTCTGATCATCTTTATGCCCTTCTCTGAACCTGTTTCCATTTCTCTGAATCCTTGTTAAAGTGTGGTGCCCAGAATTGGACACAGTACTTGAGGATGGAGTCTCACCAAAGCAGAATAAAGTGGAATTATTACTTCTTGTGATTTGGAAATTATACTTTTTTGATGCAGCCTAAAATGCCATGTGCCTTCTTTGCAGTCAAATCATTTGCCTTCTTTGCAGCTACATCATTCAGTTTGTAATTAGCTACTATTCCAAGACCTCCTTTGCAAGTATCATTGCCAAATCAGACATCCTATAATCTCCCATCTTGTAACTATGTATTTGATTTTGGTTTTCTAAGTGAATAGCTTTACAATTATATTTGTTAAATTTCATTCTGTTACTTACAGTACATTCTCAAGCCCAGTGGATTGTTGTTTTTATTTCTTTCTGGTGGTTTATTAACCCCTAATTTTTATTATTCTGCAAATTTGATAAGCATTTTCTCCACCTCCCTTCACCATCCAAAACATTAATGAAAAAATAGAATCTCAGTCGTTGAGCGAAGGGGTCATTAAGCGAAACACCCACATGATGGCTTCACTCAACAATTGCAATCCAAGCACTCTGAGTTGTGGTTGTTAAGCAATCTCCCAGGTTGTTAAGCGGACTGAGTGAAAGAGCTGTCTGCTGAAGGATTTCAGCTCCATGCAGAGCTGAAATCCTTCAGCAGACAAGCTCTTTTGCTCCATCCTCTTTCCCTCTCCTCTCTCAGCAGTAAATGGAACACCTGAAGTCCACAACTGCCCAGTGCTGAAGGGGGAGGGGAAACCTCCCAGCGCTGGGTAGTCACAGAGCTCAAATCCTGGAGTTTTGAGGTCCATGACTGCCCAGCGCTGAAGGGGGAGGGGAAACCTCCCAGCGCTGGGTAGTCACAGAGCTCAAATCCTGGAGTTTTGAGGTCCATGACTGCCCAGCGCTGAAGGGGGAGGGGAAACCTCCCAGCGCTGGGT